CCTTAAGCCCAGCGCCCCTTGCTCATGTCCATTACTTGCCTGGCCTCAGTGAGAAATGACTGTGCAAACCCTGATCTGTAAAATGCCCGGGGAGATTAAAGAGGGAGGGAGGAGGAGCGAGCAAGTAAATGTAAGTGAGCCAATGGTGAGAGACACCAATGCTCATATTCTAAGAGGGTCCCTTATAATCGATCCACACACCGCGCACACTTTGCTTCCTGCATAGGGAGCTGGGTGGCATGGACATCCCAGGGTGTGGTCCCTCCTGTTTATTAGCTCCCATGAAATAACTGGGGCACCCGGCAAGGAACAGGAAGGAGAGACCTGCAAATAAATGAGGGCAGGAGACGTCAGTGGTATTGCAGGAGTGTAGAAAGTGTGACTTTCTTCAGATAATTAACAGAGTCAAATTCTATGAAAAGAAAAAATCCTCACAAAGGAAACAATTTCGATGTGCACACAATTCCAATCTCCAGTCTTAACTTTTGACAAATACTACAAACTTCTTTGTTGGCTGCTCTTGAATGTATGCCAACCCAGAATCTCCTCCTGAGGTTCATTTATCAATAAAAGCCTGGGTTCATCTCACTAGAATGAGGCAGGGATGCCAGCTATTAAGTCGTAAATAGGGCCGGAGGTGGCCCCGAGAAATACGGCAGTGATAGAGTGCCCGGTGACCACAGCTGTTAGCAGGGCTCAGTATCACAGCACACAGTGCTCAGACACTGGGGGTGTTCAGAGGGCATCTCGTGACTTCTTCTGTCCCAGAGCATGAAGACTAAAAAGAAATCAGATTCTATTTGCTTTTGTGGGCTTTCTTTCTTCTTTTATTTTCTGTGCTTAAAAAATACTGTGAAATCCCTAGGTAATACCAAAGAGCTCAGTGCAGTCTGAATGATCTGATGCTGTTGAATATACATGAAGTTTTTACATGGCTATAGCTGGACTGTGATTAAGGAGCAATTTAAACAAACAAAGACTTCTAAAGTACTCAATAGTTTTGGAGGAAATCTTTCTTCCTTTTTGAATAGTGCACAGAGGAATTCCTCATTAATTATCTGTTTTCTGAGTGGCTTTATTTCTGCACATCCTTTTGAGAATCACTAATATGCTGGTTCACATTTGTGGGTCATTCCTATTAGGAAACTGTCTGAAGGTGTACGAAGGCCGGGAACAGAAGAGGAAATGAGACCAAGGCAGAGAGAAGTAGACAGAGAAGGCGAGAAAACTGAGGGAGGTCATGCCTGAAGACCTTGATCCATGAAGTTCAGTCCATGGACGGGGAAGCACTTGGGAGCCAGTTACAAATGCAGAATTTCGGGCCCTACCTGGACCTACTCTAGTAAAATCTATATTTTAATAAGACCCCCAGGCAATTCCTGTGCACAATGGCATTTGAGCAGGGCTGCCTCATTGACTGTCCATGGCAGGCTCTTTAATGTCAGAAGCAGATGAGATATGGGGAGAGAAATTCATAGCATGTCCGTAGCTGGGTGACCCCACACACATAACAAAACCCATCTAAGCATCGTTTCCTAATCTATAAAATGGAGACAATAATAGTAGAATAGGGAGGTTGTGAGGACTCGGTGAGTTGTTGAATAGCACTAGGTGATCGATGCTCGTTACTTTTTTGTTTCTAAATGCATGATGGTATTTTCTTAGTTCCAGGTTTAACAAATATATTGCTTTAGAAAAATACCGTTAGCTACTGGAGGTTTTTAAATCCATTTTTCTTAAGCAAACTAATCAATGAATTCTTAACACAAACAGGAAACTTGGATTATATTCTTAAAACATGTTACAGGCATACACAAAAAATGGGAGAAAACATACTCATGAATGTAACATGCACAAGCCTCTCAGTAATTCATCACCCTTATCTTGTTTTCAATTGTAGAGGTTATATAAGATTTTTGACATTGTTTCAAATTCTTACAATACTTAGGCCTGACGTCAGGAGGCAAGACTGTGGTTAAACTGGAAAGGAAGTCTGTCTGTCCGACCCTCTGGAGGCATGGGCGGCCTGCCTGGGTGTGGTGGGCAGGTTGGCTTACACTCAGTGCAGGTAAGAGAGCAGAGCGAGGGAAGGGGCTTTCTGAATGGGGCAGAAGCTACAGCTCAATGGCAAATCATCCTTGTACCAATACAGGAAGTCAAAGGAGGACGTGCCCATGAAGGCAATAAGCTGTCTAAAAATCAGGCACAAAACCAAACACTTGGGTGGTAGCCATGACTCACCATGTGCAGTGTGCCTGCCAAGGACACTATGGGAGGGTGTGTGCCTAACCCAAGAGCGTGCGAGTGTGTGTGACAACGGACAGTGTGCACAGAGGAGGTGACCTGCTCTCTAAACACGCCATGGAGGGCAGTGGATGTCCCCTCTTGGGGGCCAGGACTGAGGGAGGCTGGGCACGTCCCCGCAAGTGAGGATGACACACAGGCCTGGTGTGGCCTCCCGGAGGTCAGGCTAAGTGATGAGAGACTGAGAGGGTTACTTTAAAGGGTCCGAGGGGCGCCTCAGTTGGTTAAGTGTCCAACTTCAGCTCAGGTCATGATCTCATAGTTCCTGAGTTCAAGCCTCATACTGGGCTCTGCACTGACAGCTGGGAGCCTGGAACCTGCTTCGGATTCTTTGTCTCCCTTTCTCTCTGTCCTTCCCCTGCTCATGTTCTGTCTCTGTCTCAAAAATAAATTAAAAAAAAAACCCAAACTTTAAGAAAATTTTTAAAATAAAAATAAAAGGGTCCGAGTCCCCATGTCACTACAAAGACACCCCCGCCCCACCCGAGAGCTCCCTGGAAGGGAGAGTGACTCGCCCCTGTGATGCTGCCAGGCATAGTTTTGGGAAGAGAAATCTAAGCCAAGGATTTTGGCTTAACTGTGAAGATCCAAAAACTACTTGTCAGGAATAAAAGTTATGACTTTGTCTTTCTTAAGCAAAAAAAAAAAAAAAAAAAAAGAGTTCACTGAAGTTTTTCTGTTAAGAAGACTTTGTTATTCTGTGTCTTTGGGATAGCCAAGTAAGATCCTCTTCTGCTTCTCCATTCCCCGATGTCTTCCTCTTTGGAAATCAAAGCTTAAAAAAAAACCAAAACAGTCTGTCTGCAAGAAGCCCAGCTTGGATCCATGTGTGTATGTGGCGGCAAACGCACTGTGAAAAACAATGCCCTCCCGGGAGGGGGCTTAGTGCCCGTTCAGGCCCCTGCCCTCCTGCGAGGCCGGGCTCCGGTCGCATTACTGCAAGCGGCTGTGCCCTAACAGGAGCGTCCCCGGGAGCGGCCGGCAGGGAAGCGGGGCACAGGCAGGCGCGGGGCGCTCGTCTGGAAGGGGCTGAGGGTCTGCAGCGGCTCGGGTCGTTTCCTCAGCCCGGAGCACCGTTACCCGCCTCGTCCTCGCGGCCTCACGCTTCAGGGACCCGGCCCAACGCGGCGCCTCGTGTACCGTGCCCGCCTTCTCCGGGCAGAATAGCCGCTCCGTCCACTGTGCGATCTGTCCAGCACTTACCCCTCCAGAGTGTGGTAACGAGGGCTGGGGGGGGGGGGGGGGGGGGGGGGGGGGGGGGGCGTTGCTGGTGGCCCCTGCGGGCCTCTGAGCCTGGAGGTTATTTCTTCCCCGGGTCTTCTTCCTCGTGACTCAGCGCATGGTACACATGCAGGTCGGTTCATTTCTCCTTAGAGTAAGAGGCACAGCGGCCCCTGCTGGAGCTTCCTTCTGGCTTAAAGACCCACGAGCAAAGGGGTTGAGAACAAGGCAAAAGGCGGCGCCGGCGGAGCGCCCTGACTGCAGTGTTTTCCCACATCCACCCAGACGGCCGGTCCTGCTCTTCCGCTCAGACCTCGGGCACAAAGCCGTCACGCCAACAGGCTACCAGGGCATCTGAGTGACGACCGAGAGCCTGGCTGGGATCCTGGTTCCCTTCCCCGGGCCCGTGACTCGGGGCAAGGCCTCCTCTCAAAATGGCCAGGGCGTTCGCAACCGTCAGAGATAATACTCAGGAAAAGTACAGAGACAAGTGGGAAGACTCACAACAGCGAGTAAGTAAAAAAGAATATGAAGTGTTTATATGTTTTGATTGAAGCTACATAAAAATATATCTGCACCTGCACAATAACTAGAAGGTAACATACAAATGTAGTGTTGTATTACTGAGTGGACCCTGAGGAGTTTTTGCAAATATTTCTTCATTTTATTATTATACTGTGTTTCCTATTAAAAACAGAAAACTGAGGGGTGCCTGGGTAGCTCAATCAATTAAGCATCTGACTCTTGATCTCAGCTCAGGTCTTAATTTCAGAGTTGTGAGTTCAAGCCCCACACTGGGAAGACTACATGAAGGAAGGGAGGGAGGGAATAATGGATGAAGGAAGGAAGGAAGGAGGGGAGAGGAAAGAAAACTGGGTCCAGGCCTTAGAGGGATGACATGATATCAGACATGGGAAAAATATCTGTAAACTCTGGTGAATATATAACCACCAGCTTGCTGCTGTTAACCCCATCACTGCCACTGAACCTAAATGACAAATTCTTTCTAAAAATGGCATTAGAGACACACATCTTTAAGACTTACAAAACCTGTACACTCATGGTCCTCCCACAAGACAGACCTAACATATATAAAGCTTTAAGAAATATATACATGTGTTCTAGAAATTTTCCATACTTAACTCAGTGCAGCTAATCTCTTGGAGATGTGAATCCCCTCTCTCCTAAGAAGCCCAAAGCAGCCTCCCCTCCTGGCCTCACTCATAAGGAGGTGAGAAGAGACCGCCCTCTCCCCGCAGACGGGGCTCTGGAGGGAAGGGGCTGTCCCGCTCGAGGTGACGGAGTGAGAGGGCAGCCAGGTGTAGAGGCTCTTCAGTGGCGCACGAAGTCCTCAGCCCCTCCGTCACCTGGGCAGACTGCTTCGTCTTGGCGGTTTCAGCAACATGGACATTCAATCAGTTCTGAGACCCTGAGGAGTGCCACTGAGTGAGACACACGAGCTGTTCTAGGCTTACCCCTGGTCCACGCTGGTGTGGACGGCTGCGACAACACTTTCCAGGACCTGGAGGGGGTCCCGTGGCCCACCGAGCTCAGCATCGCCTCCACTGTGAAGGGACAGAGAGAGAGAGAGAGCCAGTTCAGAAGAGGGTTCCCAGTTCAGAAAGCAGCGCGGCATCTGCACCCAGAAGGAGCCGGCAGCCATGTGGGTCCGCGGTGTACACGGTCTGCGAGGGCACCGAGTCCCACACAACGTGCGCAAGGTGTAGAAACGAAATGCCCTCTGCCCTTAATTAAGGAGCTCATCGTCTCATATACCCTTGTTTTTCTGGCAAGAAAATAAACTCTACTTGGATTCTGTCATCCAAAAAACATTCAGTGGACGTTATACCTGTGAACTGTTTTAAGCATTAAATATATAATCATCTAAATTCTCCAGCTGGACTTAAAAAACCTCTAATATTTACATGATACTTACTAGGTACAAGGCATGGCTGAGCACTATACACACACCTACCATTTAATTCCCAGGAGCCCGCAAGACAGGTACTATTATTATGCCCATTTTATGAATGTGTATGTCTGGGACTCTAGCAAATTGGAAAAAAAAAAAAGCATCAGAAGACAAGAAGTTTGAGGTGAGTTTTCTGAATAATTTCAGTGGTAGGATTTAAATCAACTGCTGGATTCAGTTCTTTACATGCCTCTGTTGTTTCATATCTATGAAATTCTACTAACTTTCTAAAAGGTGAACGTTAACGGATATTGTCAGTAGCAATTTCTTTTCCTTTGAAAAGGAAGTAGCTGAACTTCTGAGGTTCCCTCTCCTCCCAATGCTGAAAGATTTAATTCACATTTATTGAGTGTCTTCTGTGTGCTGTTACCTAATAAATAAATAACATTTATTAGGTAAGAACCAAATCTTACTAAGGAGAGCTGGGTGCAGGGAAGGAGAGAGAAGTAGAATTTATGTCAGAATTTTATAAATGTAAAAATACCATATTTTATTTTAATGATTTACAAAAATGTGCAGTTTTTAAGAAATAAATCCTTCAGAGCACTGATTTTTCAAAATGTCTGTTTTTGTGAGGTTAATCTAAATTTTGATTTAAAAAACACTAAAAAAAGATCGCTATGAATCAAAAGGTGCAAAATGTGACCGACAAGTATCTGTCATCATTGAAAAGAGGAAAGTGGTGCCTGGGTGACTCAGTCAGTTGAGCGTCCGACTTTGGTACAGGTCGTGATCTCGCGTTTGTGGGTTCAAGTCCCTCATCAGGATCTGTGCTGACAGCTCAAGCCTGGAGCCTGCTTCAGATTCTGTGTCTTCCTCTTTCTCTGACACTCCCCTGCTCGTGCTTTGTCTCTCTCTCTCAAAAATAAATAAACATTAGAAAAAAGAGAAGACGGGGCGCCTGGGTGGCTTAGTCGGTTAAGCGTCCGACTTTCGCTTAGGTCATGATCTCGCGGTTCATGGGTTTGAGCCCCGCGTCGGGCTCTGTGCTGACTGCCAACTCAGAGCCTGGAGCCTGTTTCAGTCTGTGACTCCCTCTCTCTCTGACCCTCCCCTGCTCACACTGTCTCTCTCTCTCCTAGAAATAAATAAAAACATTAAAAAAAAATTTAAAAAAAAGAAAAGAGGAAAGTGGGTGGTTCTTATAACTACCACCACTACCAAAACATGATAAGCTAATAATAGAACACTGCTTTATTAATTTGACATTTGTTATTTCTTAAAAAAAAATGTTATGATATTTATTTCTCCATCTCTGTCTCTCCCTCTCTCTAAAATTACCAGATATGGGGCACCTGGGTAGGTCAGTCGGTTAAGCGTCCAACTTCAGCTCAGGTCATGATCTTACGGTTCGTGGGTTTGAGCCCCATGTCGGGCTCTGTGCTGACAGCTAGCTCAGAGCCTGGAATCTGCTTCAGATTCTGTGTCTCCCTCTCTCTCTGATCCTCCCCTGCTCACACTCTCTTTCTCTCAGAAATAAATTAAAAAACATAAAAAAATAAAAAATAAGTAAAATAAAATTACCAGATACCTCAGATCATTAAGGTGAAAACTGTATGAGGCTGGGGTAATTGAACTGAAAAAGGCTCATTTGATTTCAGTTCAGCTGTGGAAAACTAACATGCATTTAATCAAAAAGTTCCTCAAGAGCAATGCAGAATTACAAAGAATGCTTAAAAGGAGAATGCATTAAACACAACCAAACCTTTCAGCCTAATTGCATTATTCACAGAAAGCACTTCATGCCTCATTTTTCTTGTAGCTTAACTCTCCCCCTTTCCTCAGCCTCCCAGATACATTCCCACAAAGACACCGGCATGCTGACATAAAGCTAGAAGTTCTCAATTGTTGGTTTCATGCCATTAACTGCAGGTAAATAAAACTCTAAGGCACTTAACAGATGTCTAATATCTTCAGTATATGATTAACCTTGCCTTGTGTATAGTTCAAGAGAAGCTTCTGGGAACCATTTTGCAGCCTCTACCAAGAAGTGTAAGTAGAAAAGTCAGAATTGGTCCATCCACCTGGGGTCACATGATGGCCTGACATTCAGCTACCTGCTAATTTTGGCCTTTCGCTTATTTCAAGACTTATTTGGGGATGGCGATGGGGGGGGGGGGGTGGTGGCCGCAAGAGGGTCCAACCAGAAGTTAGTTTTAGGGTGAGTTACATGCAACACCAACGGGGAAACATTTTCATGGTTCTCCATTCTCGAGATATTTTAAGACACGAGACTTTGAGAAATCTGGTAAGAATCTCTCACTTCTATGAAGTGCTTCAGTGTATAAAATGCCTCTACAGACACGCTCGCATTTTCCCTTCCTAACTGTGAAATGAGCGCCATTACTGGCTCGGGGTTCCGGGGACTCTTTGCTGGCTTACCTCAGGGCAGAAACTATTTTTCTTACTGCGTCCTGTACCACTTCCTTGAGCGAGATGTCGAGAGGGCCCACGGCCACCTGCAGCAGCTGTTGAATCATTCTCAGAGGCAGACCATCTAGACACATAGCCACAGCTTGATCATGAACTTTCCCTTTTTCTGATCGGGACAGATCATACAGGTGACCGTACTTCCGCAGTGTCTCCTGAAAAGATATGGTACGTGACCCCTAAACGTCAAATAGAAATAAGGTGTGTCTACAGGTACAGAGTGAAGGATATTTAGAAGATTCCCAAACCAAAGACACTAGAACTACAAATGCCACACTGGAGAAGAGGTAGCGGTTTTTAAGTGCCTGGGCTTCAGGGACACCAGGCTTGAGTACAAGTCCTTACTTTTTCCCACTCATTATTCGTGAGCCTTCAGTATTTGCAAAATGAGGATGAGGACAGAGCCTCTTGTGAATAGAGGGTGTTGTGAACGTTGCCTAAGATCATATAAAAGCCAGGCCTTTAGCACAATGTCAGGCACAAAGTAAAGCTCATGAAGTCTGAGTTTCAGTAGTATTATTACTGTAATTATATTATAACCACCATAACAGCTCTGATCTGTGCAAACCCAGGTACTATACGTGTGTTACCTAATGTAATGCTTACAGTGAGCACACAGAGTTTTCATTAGCTCTGTTTTACCAAAAAGTAAATTGAAAACCAAAGATGTTAAGTAACATGCCCAAAGGCACTTGGGGATGTTCAGGGAAACTAGGATCAGAATCCAAAAGACTACATCTCCCCTCCCACATTACACATAGCCTGCCCCTCTTCGATAATATCTGTAAAAATTAATGTGAAGACAAACAACTTATAAAATGGGCCTACTACTTTTCATCATACCAAATAAGATCACTTAGTGTTTAGAATGCTTTCCAGGTTCTTTATAGTTTCTCAGGTTATCTAGAAACACCATGTCTTTGAGAAACACCATGTAAAAATCCAAACGTTAACTGGTGATGATCCTGAGGAATCACTGTTCATGTTTTGGTTGGGATAATGTTATAGTGGTTGTGTTAACACGTATCCTTTGAGAAATGGATACGGAATTATTTAGGGATAGAATGAAAAGATGACCGGGATTTTCTGGAAAACAGTCCACAGGAGCAGGGTGAGAGGGCAGGTGGGGTCGGCATGAGATGACGGGTCATATTCTGATGATTACTGATGCTGGGAGTTGGGCACACGACATTTCATTTTACTCTTCTCCCCACTGTGAGACTTCTGATAAAAAGAAAGTGCCCGTGAGTTCAACAGAACAGTTACACAGGTCCCTACTGAGCAAGAGGGAAGGGAGGTGTCACAGGATAAAAGCCTCTAGTTTAGACGGCGCTAACGTAGGGTACGGGGGCCTTCTTTCACCGCGTGTACCATTAAAGAGGTTAAAGTTAAGGCCTGAACTTAAAACGGACAAATGTATAGGGCTAAAGCTTATTTCCAGTGTTTTGTTATGAAAGGCACTCCAGTAAAATCAAATAAGGTCCAATTTAGGAACCAGAAGAGTCTCCTATTATAGATCATCCGCAGTCTGACTGAACAGCATCTGCAAGCAGTCATTTGCTACCTTTAAATCTCAGCCTAGTAGAAACAAACGGCTGTTTTTGTTAATAACCCCCTTGGCCCATTTGCATTATTCAAGTCACTGAAAGATAATACTTGTTCCAAGGACGGTAATGATAATTCTCCAGGCTTGAATACAGCATATTTAATTTAAAAAATAAGGACGAGTATTTAAATTTTTTATACTAATCAGTATAATCATTTTTTACTTGGAAGAATTCAGATTTTACCCTAGTTTTTATAATTATGGATGACAGTACTGTACATGTCAGTAGGATAAAATCAAGATTGGTAAAGCCAATTTGTTCCCTGCAAAGGCTTCTATACGGCTTGTACATCATTTAATGTTATTCATTAGACAGTCTAATAGCACTGAAAAATACAAAATGAAATAAAACTGCTATCAAACTTTTGAATTCTTCTCATTATCTTTTCCATGAGGGTTTGCATTTATGCGTCTCATACACATTTTGAAGTCTTTCGTCTGTTCATTATCTGAACTGCTCTCCACTGGCCGATCTTTCTAGTCAGGAATATTTCTTTACAAGCCAAGAATACAATTCAGTCAATATGTAAGGTTTAAGAAAAATACAAGAGGAGATTAGTGGCCACTTACGGGTTCATTTACCGTAACGTTAATGGGGCACATGAAATATTACTTATATATCTGTATATCTACACTGTTTTTACCTATATGAGACCATTTACTTATTGATCTGTCAGCTTCTCAGTTACAGAAGAGAAGAGCTTAAACTCCCTTGGCTGTAACAGTACAGAAGAAAACCTAGAAAAGCTCCAGAGGGTTTCCCTCTGCTATCCTAACCCCCCATCCTAAGCACCTCAAGAGTCATCATAAGCAGGGGCTCCTGACTCTCGTGAGAGTATTTTCTGAGACACCATGAGGGCCTCAACTAGAAACCAAGTAGGAACAATTTTAGTAACCAAAAAATGCATATCAATAAAATTATACTGGAACCATAAAACATAAACAGGATAGGGGCATATAATTTTAAAATATCGGAAGCAGGCATGGATGGCTCTTTCTGAATTTTTCTGAAAATTAAGGGGAAAAATCTATCATTTTTCCGTGGGAGAGCAAAACACCTACCAGCTAGAAGCAGGGCTTGCAGACCACCATCCTTATCATTCTGCAGCCTCAGTGACCACTCCCTCCCCTAGGCATCCATCCTGGGCCCAACTCGGGGGCCCCATTCCCCACCCCTCCCACCCTAGTCCCTCAGTCTTGAGAAGTGGCCCCAAATCCTCTGGAATGAAAACCTGCAAATGGGAGGGCACAATCAAGAGGTAGTGAAGAGGCTAAAGGATAAAAGGTTGAGGGACATTTTCAAGGGCATCGGCAAACTGAAACCCCTATGCAAACCACCAACACAGCTCTAAAGGACGAAGGTAAGCATGCACTGGGGTGATCTGAGGGAGCGTGCATGGGGAAGTTTCCACTTCATTACCTGCTCACTGTTCCTCAGAGACACAAGGAAGGTGTGGTTGAGAGTTTCTAGGTGAGCAAGTGATTTCTCCAGCTGATCCCGGACATCTGCATAGGTGATGTTAGGGTCACTAGCTTCTTGAATGTTGTCTTCCGAACTTCTTTTCCGTGGCTTCTCGATAAAATGTTGGACTGTCTGAATAGCCTTTCTAGTCATCTCTTTGCGTGCTTCCACGGACAGCTTCAACAAAAAAAGGTATTGAGCGGCAGTGAGACAAAGCAGCCCCACGTTACTAGAGATGGTGTATTTAATAAGGTTTTAGCGAGGTAGAGAACAAGAGTGAAACGTTAATAAACAACTTTACGTCTAGGACTTTTTTTATATTAGTTTTTCTTCTGTGAGGAAAACAACAGTGAGGTACCATATGTCCTTTCAAAGTAGTAAATATAGATTTTTTTTAAATGCTAAAATGCAAAAGTAGGCGGTGTTGTGATGCAAGTAGCATTCAGATAGATTACTGGTTATGGTGCAGAAACAAGGAGTCATTTCTACAGTTACAATTCCCAGTTTCAATCATTTATTATAAGGAAATGACTAAAAAGAAGAAAATCATATAGGCATAATGATTTCAACTGGAATAAGACTATAAAGTAAAACCTCAAAAGCAATCTAGTTGCCTGGTAATAAGAGAAATGGTAACTAATTTATAATCAGTTACTAGACAGAACATTATGCAGCCGTTAAAATTAGATATAAAATCAATATTAGCAATTTGGAAAGTGCTTATCATAAAATGTTGAATTTTAGGAATCAGAAATCACAAAACTGTCTACACCATGCTCGTATTAAAATGTGAACTAAACCTATGTGTATGGCTGAACAGAAACACACACACACACACACACACACGTGCGTGACTGTTATGTTAAAATGTTAGGATTATGAGAAATTTTGTTCTCAATTTTCTATATTTTCTATGCTAATGTATTCATTCAATTACCAACCAAGTATTTAATGAGTTGTCACATGCGGAAGTCACTTTGTTAGGTATGCAGGAATTGTCTTTTTCTAATGATATTAAAAACATGAAGCTTACTTGGCCTCCAGTCTAAACGTAACCCACCTTGATGGATGCACCATAGACTTGTGAGCCATGTTGGGCCTTTTTAGGCCCCACTGATTCGTGCTGTTTTGGATCCTAGATTTAGCTTCACATCAACTACTCAAGCACATTTTTACTATAGCTTTAAAAGGGCTCTGAGTGGATTTAAATAAAATCAAATACAAAACAGATGAAGAGTCTTAGGACAAAATCTTATCTTTATTTTCTTTCTCAAAATCAGGTACCATGTGTCTGGTTATTCTGAAAAGTACGACAGGCATCCACATGGCATCAGTGAGCACACCAGGCGGCAAATCCCCCTCAACCCTCCCCACCAGCTGCCTCCGAGTCACTCTTCGTAGAATTCATGTGGAATAATGAGGACAGCTGACATTTCCTTTGGTCTATACAAATGTGGCTAAAAAGGAACTTTAGGAAAGTACTATTTCCACTGAACTGTAGCTAAGTGTGTGATTTGCAAATGCAGCCTCAAGTAAGTTTTGTAGCCAAACTGCTACCCCCAAGCACCTGGGTGTACAACAGACTCAGAAGCCACCTCTGACCACAAGTAACAGTTACATTATTCTCCTCCTTCCCATACCCTGTGAACTCTTTTCTCTGGTTGAAAAACAGCCCTCTTTACTTCCCCCCATCATGTGGATGCAAAGACTGAGCCCCGGGGAGGTTCTGTGATGTGTCGGGGTTCCTCGCGTGAGGGCAAAAAGTAAAAGCCAGAATGCAGGTGCGTTGGTCATGGAACTGGTGCTCCCCTCTCACTGCACGTCACACAGCTTCCACTTTGCCGTGTCCACCCGCTCCCGAGCTCTGTGGAGCGTAGGATGGGTGCACACTGGCTAAGTGCTCAACAGAAGGAAAGACAAATAAGAATATGGCCTCGTAAATCCTTCCTTTCTGTTCACTCCTCTTCGTTTCCCCAAGACACATGGGTTTGGGGAATATTTGCAAACCCAGCTGGCCAAATGTCAGCCTGTCAGGGGGCGTGGAAGGTTCCCACGACAGACCGGCAAGGCAGTAGGGAGAGGACAGGCAGCTCATGTGTGTGGAAAGCAGCGCCCTGAGAGAAACAATCAGTCTCTGTGCCCTGGGAAGAGTCCAGACGCCATCTTTGTTGTCCCAAGTTTGCCTCGCCACTGCCTACTCCGGAAATAGTATAGGGAGAGTGCTACCCTCACAAGACCTGTGTTTAATTTTTACTGCCTGGGTGACACTTGACAACATGCTTCAAGCCTTCATTGTGTCACGTATAAAATGTGAAAAACATCATCTACCATACCATGTCATTCTGAGAATTTAAATGAGAGAATATGTAAAACATTCAGCAAAATGCCTTACCCATAGTTGGTAACTCAATAAATGAAAGCTCAATTCTAATTTGGCCAACTGATACAATACACAGGCCATCTTCTACCTGTTAGACTTATCTTCATAATAAGTTTGCCATGTAATCCCTTTTAGAAAAAACCTTTTCATAAGGTCTGCAAGTTCCTTGGCATGGTAACTCAAGGACTTTCCCAGGCTGGCCCGAAGCTAACCCTCTAGCCTCATAATGTCACCGTAGCCCACACTCTAGGTTCCATACGCAGAAGCTTTTCTCATTCCCTGGTGTCAGCTGGTATCTCAGTGAAATGCTGTCTCTTCTCTGCAAAGCAAATGCCTAGTCATGTTTCTATACCAAGCTATACACAAGTCATCCTGGAATCCTCTGTTTCTTCAGCCTCTACAGCTGGTCCATTGGCAAGTCATCTGCTCCAACACCCAAGTGCCTACTCCATGCTTACAAGCATGTGGACTCCAGCTGCCCAGCAATACTGAGTGCAGGCCTCATACTGACATCCATGCTTTCCTAGAATCTGCTATAGAACTGCCACAGACCGGCCAGTAGAGAAAAGTGAATTCTCTAGGAGTTCAAGTTGTTTGATCTCATCACCAGTATCGTCAGAAAAGTATCCCCCTCCCCCACTCTTAATGATCTTTCAAAACAACTAAATAATCATAGTTACTAAGAATACAGAGTGTAAATAAATGCAAACCTAAGTTAATTTTTCTCAGGGAGCCGGGGCCTGTACAAGAGGCAGAATGATATTATGATAAAAGATGGAAGGGCTTTTACTTGCCTGGGCATTGTGCTTGATGGGACATTTAAGCTTTTTACTCTTTGTGAGAACAGGTTCATTGCTGAAAGACTGTAGGGTGAGGGGCACCTGGGTGTCTCAGTCAGTTAAGTGTCTGACTTTGGCTCAGGTCATGATCTTACAGTTCATGATTTCCAGCCCCACATCAGGCTCTGTGCTAACAGCTCAGTGCCTGGAGCCTGCTTCTGATTCTGCGTCTCCCTCTCTCTCTGTTCCTCCCCCACTCATGCTCTGTCTCTCAAAAACAAATAGATGTTAAAAAAAAAAAATTTTTTTTTAAAAAGAAAGACTATAGGGTGAGATTAAATACAAGTTTCACACTGAATAAGTCTATTAGACTTACTTTCCTTAAACTCTTCTGTAATAGAGGAAATAAGTAGTAAGAGAAAAAAGATGGACAAATGTACCGGAGAGAAAAATCACAATTTCTTCACGGACTTTAGTAGCCATAAGGTACTTCTGTTCCTAACCTTCTATTTTGAAGCCCACGGCATTAACACATCACTCATACACATATTTCTATAATAAGAAAGAGAAGATTTTGTAGAACTCTTCCCTGCCAGCAATTAGTAACTACTATTTAAGAAGCTGTGAGTTGTGTAAAATAAAGTTATTGTTCTAGCACTCAATAAGTATGTCTTGTGCATCTATTTTGTAGGCCCTGTGGAAAACCACGAGCGAGGCTCAGAGAAACCGTTTTTAATATAGGACACAAGCTGGTGGGAAGGGGGAGAAATTTAGGAACCATCCCTGACATCCACGAATCTCACTGGGTCTACCTTCAAAATACATCCAGGCTACCCAATTCCCACCACGTTCACCGCCACCACTCAGTCCCAGGCCACATCGCCCCTCTTGCACTGCAATGGCTCTAACTGGTCTCTGGATGAGGCAGAGAGAGCAGCAGTCACCAAACGCAAGTATTCCGTGGATTCTAACGCACTTGCCAGTCCCCTTGCAGCTAGGATGAGCCATGTTCCAGGCAATGAGATCTGAGCAGAGGTGACACGTTTCCCTTCTGAGCCAAGGCAACATACAAGCCGCATGCATCATTATCCAGTCTCCCTTCCTTCCCAGCTGTAGCAGAGGGGACTGGTCCCAGGCAGCACCGATACAAGACGAAAGAGCTCCCATCAGCCTGGATCCTAAGTGACTTCATGGTAGAGAGCCCTTTGTAGTCTCTAACTGGGATAGGAGCATGCGGGAATATTAGCCTTGGTTGGGTTAAGCCACTGTGATCCTGGGGCTAACTGGGTACTCCAGCATTACCCAGTTCCACAGTGATATTTTAAAAACAAATCTGATCATGTCACTCCTCTGCTCACATCTATTTTACAGCTTCCTAATTTACTACAAATAAAACCCAGCCTTCAATGCCCTGTGAAGCCCTATAGGACTTGTTCTTCACTGGACCCGATCTGCCTAAGCCTACTTCCTTCCTTTTTCTACACTCCTGCTCCGCTCTAGGCAGACTGGTCTCCACGCAGTCTGTCAGCGCCTTTCCACTCGTGGGCTCCTCTGCTTGAGATGTTCTTCTCCAGGTATCTTCACAGCTGTTCCTGAGCTTCCCTCAGGACTCGGCACCGAGGCTGCCTCATCAGTGGGGCCTCCCCACCATTCAACAGGGGCTAGCACCTCCTGGCGCTCTCTCTCCTTACTCTGTGTTCCTTCTTCCTCATTACTGACATCTTGTCTTTCCATCTGTGTGCTGCCTCCCTGATACTTATATTCCTAGAACCCCAGACCCAGAATGGTAGCTCATTCTGTATGTTGAATGTACGAGTGAATGACTGACATTTTATTTATTTTTAATGTTTATTTTTGAGAGAGAGAGAGAGAGAGATGGAGAGAGAGAGAGAGAGAGAGAGAGAGAGAGAATGAGTGGGGGAACGGCAGAGAGAGAGGGAGGGAGACACAGAATCTGAAGCAGGCTCCAGGCTCCGAGCTGTCTGCACAGAGCCCAACACGGGGCTCAAATCCACAAA